GTGCTGATTCATCAACATGCTATGAGAAAAGGGTGCTAAAAATGTACTTACCCTTCTCGAAGACACTATATAGTTTTATTGAAGATCACTGACTGGAGAGAATTGAAATCCTGCAGGAGAGGAAACAGCCAGATGGTGAAGACAAACGTGCTTATTCATCAACAATGCCAACCTGAAGGATCTCATCCATGGGTCAGTGAAAATGAGAGGCAAGAATGAGACTGTTTACAAATCTTACACAATAAAACGTAAAAGAACAATCACCTTCTTGAGCAGCCAAAGTCTGAAGAAGAAAGGTCCAGTCTGAATAGAGGAGGAAGGAAGTTTGGTGAAAGAGAATGCATAAAGCATCGATGGCATAGATGTCAAAATGAAGGCAATCACAGACGAGAAAGAGAACACTGCTTCAGAGAAACAAGATATAATGAACATGAAGAAGATGGCTCAAATGGTGCAAGTGTAGGAGCATGTAAAACAATGTCAAAGTCCCAGTCAAGTATAGAAGGGGGTCAGTGAAGAAGGAAGGATCAAAACAAAGTAGAGAGAAAAGGAGAAGGAAAAACCTGACAGTAACGTGAAAGGCAAAATGTTGTTGATAATGACACTGAAGAGCAAACAACAGTGGAAAATGACAAGCTATGAGTAAACAACCATGTGAAAAAGCTAAACAAATGGGCCACAAGAGGATGGCCAGGAGGAAGGGAGAGGCTAATGGATCAACATAAAAAAAACAAAAACGCCACTTCTGTTGATAGATGAACAGAGTTGAACGATAACAAGAATTAGATAAGGAAAAGGATACCCAACTGAAGAGCTAGCCCTGTGGGCAATAGACATGACAAATTCCACATGCTACGATGAAGGGCCAACACATACTGGGTCACTGGAATGTGAGAATGAGACAGAAGAAGAGGGGGCTAAGATGCAAATCCATAAAGCAGAGGAAATACAGTTGTGCCTGTCAGAGAGGTGCCACCAACAGGACCTGATATGGAGAGTCACATGGCTAAGCAAGAACACAAGGGAGAAGGGAAATAGGAAGATAGGCAAATAGGAAAAGGTGAGATCGGTCCTGGCTGAGAGTTTCAACTGCCAGGGCTGAAGAATGAAGAAATGGGGATCCAAAGGGGGGGAACTCTGGTGAAGGCACTGATGAGAGGCATGTCCAAGTGAGCAAATCCAACCAAAAACCTGAGGGTGGAGAGACCACCCAGTGGTTAGAACCCTGTCTGGCCGAGAGAGGTGACCTGCCACTAAGTTCAGAGCCCCTGGCATATAACAAGCTCTGAGACGAACACAAAAGGAATAAGCCCAAAACAGCAAGTCCAATGTGAAGAAACAGATTCCTGGAATGAGTACCTCCCTGATGGTTGATATAAGAATGAGAGGAAATGTCAGAATGAATAATGACCAATCCACGAGAACAGAGAGGAAATGAGAAAATGCCTAAAGGACAGTGAGAATTTCAAAGATGATGTCTTCTAGTCATTCAGAGATGCCTCCCAGCATGACAGAGATGCATCTGTGAAGAAATGGAGATGCTGTTAGGGGTAGGGGATGGCAAGAGGATGTTCTCTGTGGTGTTGGTATGGTGAGCCACTAAGACAAATCCACAAGAAGGAGGGAAAGGAAGGCTCACACTCAAGGATAACAGATGCAGAGAAAGGTACCACTGGTCTAACAATCACAACTGGAAGAGGTACGTGTGAGCAGCCTTATTGAAGGAATGGTAAAAAGAAAGACAGATTTCCCAAAAACAAGAGAACTTCATGCACAGGGTATGAAAGAGAAGCACAAACCTAGATGACAAGTCATTCATTGTTCATAAATGAAGTGGAAAAGGCTGAGCCAAATAGAGATGGAGTAGAAGAACATACCCAGATGTACCAAACATAGGGCAAGCATGAGAAAAGACTTAAAAGGGCTTGACAAGCTAGTCTAGCCAAGCAACCTCCAACAAAGGAATACAGATGTGAGAGAAGGAGTCCATGTAAGAAGAGGTGAGGAGAAGCTAATCATCCATTTAATAATTGAACCTCAGCCCAAATCTAAAAATAAGGTGAGTAAATGCCCCTACAACCCAAATAAATACACGCAATGCAAATGCAATGCCAAAGAGAAGAGCACAGAAGTGGAAGAACTATGGGTGAAACAAAAAGGTGTCTGCAATGTCAACATGGTCATCCAAAGTCTGGAGAAGTATAAGAAGGCTGGGAATTTGAAATGGGAGATGTTTATTCAGCAGGCCTATGAATAGGAAAAGAATGGTAAGGTTGAGAAAGATGAGAAAACTTTTGTAACCAGTGAGTCAAGAACACCTCTGAAAACCTTAGAGTGAAGAAATGGAGCCCAACAAAGATCACAAAGATAAGTATGAAGGAAGCATCCCAACAGCAGAGGAACCACGTTAGAAAAGAAAGAGCAGAAGAAGCAGGAGCCAATATAGTGAAAAGAAGAGAACAAACCTCTCTATAAAACCTCAGACATCAGGTGAAGTGAGGAGAGGTAACACAGGAGGGTGGTAAGGAAGAGACCAAGACATATAAATTGGGCACTAGAAAGGAAAATAAAAGTTAAATGGTCCATCCCTGAACAGGTAAAAGAAATTCTAACTGAGAATCAAGGAATGGAAATGAATAATAGTGGCAAGCTAGGATAAAAAAGCCAAGTAGATGAAAAATATGAGGTGTGTGAGTACAGCTGTGTAGGTGTTTGAGAAATAAGTCTGCAGGGATCCTAATGTCAGGTGAAGGAAGACAAAGTAGACTCAAGTATGGGTTTCATGTAGTAAAGCACAGGAAGAATCAAAAGAGAAAGAAGAAAGACAAAGAAAAGAACATACCTACAAAACCATGTTAAAGAAGAGATGGAGAATGAGAGACAAATTTCCTCCATAGATAAAGCTGTGACTAGAGTAAACCTTGCTGGGGAGCTAGCCTGTCAAATTCATCATACTGATCAAACTGGGGAGAAGTAATGTCAGCTAAATGGATAGGAAGAGGAGGTCAGGGTGTATGAAGAAACTTATAACACATCAAACACATCCTCCACACCTCCCAGTAGCTACAGGTTCCATGTTAGGAGCATTGTCACTATCATGGACGAAGCAGAGAATTCATAATGGGTAAGAAAGAAAAAACAAAAAAGTTTTATCTTATTTATAAAACAAATTGGTGAAACTTAAATGAATTTTTTGCATAAATTTTTTGCAAATCTCATGTAAATGATTAATAATTTTGAAAACACGTTATTCGAGATGATTCTGAGGAAAAGAATTAAGTCATTTTGAGCACAAATGGTTAAGGGGAGTTACTGCGCAAGAAGGTTGTGTCACCTTCTTATTGTTGGAGAACTGTCACCATATGCACTAGCATAGTTCATTAAACACATGATTTTTAAGTGTGATTTAGCTCAAGGCTAGTGGCATGCAAATCTCATAAACAGACATACAAAGTACCATCTCAGAATTGTATGTTTCTTGAATAAGATGTACAAAGATTATTGTTTTAGTATATTTTGTATAAGTGCCTGCCAAACCAGGAAAAATATCTATTATTTCAGAAATAAGTCAATTATATCATATATCATGGAAAATGTAGCACATTCAAGATCCACCTAAAATAAACAAATATTCTCTACAAGGGGAACTGCAGCACATGAAAAAAGCTGGTGATTTAGAAAGCAATAAAGGCAAATAATTCAATAAGAGAGAGAAACAACCAAGTATAGAACTCAAACCAAGTAATAACTTAACAAGGAGGAATAAAATTAGAAATTATTTGTCTGGTGCTGAAAAAAGAGAAAGCAATCAGAAGCAGCCAATAAATGTCAAAAAGGAGCATTGATACATTCTTTAATTCCTAGTACATGACTAAAAGCAACAGTTAATAATGAATTGAAAAAAAAGAAAAAAGTGAAAAGTAGTACAAAGCAATGGATACTGAAGTAGCAGAAAATAATTATCCACATTTTCAAGTAACAATTAAGAAAGTTAATAAAAAAAGATACCAGAACTTTAGATAACAATTCATGGATAGAATATATAATTAATAAAACACTGATTTGTACAAGTTAAAATTGGACCTGCACAATTTAGTCATTTTCTTCTACTTAATTCAAAATCAGTCTGGAAGATAGTTCTCAGAGGATAACAATATTTGATATACAGGAAAAATATGGAAAAGGTGCCATGGCCATAATTGGTGTATTCTTTAAACTAGAAGCAATATTCGATTTTGTCTTTTAAATTGACTGATGCAGCTGAATGATGGAGGATTTTATTCCTAGTAATATAATAATGAAAGACTGAAACCTCATGAAAAAAGCAGTTTATGCTGTATATGGAATACCTTATGAAATAGAAGATATTAAAACTCTGGTTGAAAACGAATTGTAAATAATACAGCTTAAACTTTAACTGAAGTTGAATGACAAAATTTAATAGGCATATTTATTAGGATAATTGCAATAGTTATGAAGTTAGCAAAGAGAAATAAATTTTTTGTGGAGCTGTTAATGTTGTTTATCATCCTAGAAATTGAAATTTGTTACACCAAGTGGAATTGGTAGTCAAGTTTGATCTTGTTTTGAATAAACACATTTGTAGGTTCATAAACAATGCAACGAATTGGAATTATTTAAGTTCTGAAATCCAAAATTAACTAATACAGATGCTTTCAAAAGCTGCTGCTAATGTAACTGTTCTAAAAATTAAACATATGAAGTACTAGTCTATAATTGTTGACAGTATACCTGATGCAAGTCTTCAAGAGTACATGTTGGGAGTTTTAAGAATGATCATTATTCAAGAAATGGTGGTAAATGCAAGTATTTGGGGAAAAAAAAGTCTTACTTTAATTCTAGATTCAATACAAATTGAAAGGCAGTGTTATACCTTATAACTCACAAATAGCCAATGGAAAGTTCACATCTATCAGATAAAATCAACCTTAAACACTATTTTCTTACATTTAATTTTTTTCCCTACAAAGAGTCCTTACTTGTATCGTATTTTGAAGTCATTGGTATAGATATTCCAGGACTGTTATCTGGAAAATATATTGCACTATGGTGTAGGGCTGAGTCAGAATTTGTCCTGAAAAATAGAATTTAACATAGAATACTCACATTATGATCAACAACAAGAAAAAAATATTAGTATTTTATGAATAGTTTCATATGGTTTGCTCCTGTCTTCTGTTTAGTTTTGAATATGATATTTTTTGGCTCTGTACTGAGTATGTGGGGTTAGTTAAGAGTAATTCTTTACATATATATATATATATATATATATATATATGAACGGTATTGCAGCCCTGAGAAAAATCTAAGAAAATAGTGATATCTGATTGGCTGGGATGATCTTGGTTCATACTATATATATACAACTCTTCTCAACTCCTGAGACATAATGAAGAATTCAGCACATAGTCTAAAATGTTATCTACAAAACTAGACAGAAGGAAGGAACAGTTCACATGAAACAATTCAAAATATCAACATATTGCCTAAAAACTCTCTCTAAAAAGACTAGTATTTGGTATGCCACATCTATAGTAACTACACTTGATGTCTAAAATCTTGGGTCTAATATTTTTAAACTTTATACAAATAACACCTTTTATAAATTTCAAATAGCAAACAAACATAAGGTTAGTACTTTTTTCTTTAGATTTATGGGCAAGCATACGAGTATTACTTTTCTCTTTTGTATATTTTAACATGCAATAAATAATGCAATGGCTTAAAACTGACCTGTTAACAATGTAATGTTAGTCAAATGTTGTGTAACAAGCATGCTTTCAAATGTCTATCAGGACAGCTGTTTTCACTAAACCTAGTAATCATCTTGGAATTGTGGTACTCAACTTTGAGTTTGTTTGCCAGTTCCTCAATCTAATGTCTACTAAAACTAAAACTTAATGAATTTAACATTAGGTTTCAACAAATTATAATGAAAACACACTGTTCTTTGGAACACGTTACAGACTTTTTTTTTAACATTTTCAACACAGTTACTTTGTTTAGTTGGAAAAAAAGAATAACAGGTTTTAAAAAAATATTTTATAAGCATGTAATATGATAAAGTACAGGTAGAAGCTGTTAGTTACATGCAGTCTTGATGTATGTGATATATACAATTATAGCAACTTTATAACTTACAAAAGGAAAATAAAAAATAAATTAGCTTTATAATAGGCTGCTTAATGTACCAGATGTTGGACAATGAAGATATTACATTAGATGAATATTATTACATGAAATCATCAATTTTTGCTATGGATACACGTGTAAAGCTCATCACCTCATATATGAGATCTTATGAAGCTTGTGTTGACTCTCTTTTAAAAATGTATAGTCAATTTGATCTTTCTAATATATATAGAACATGTTCTATATTAAAACTGTTTAGGGTAGTTAAAGCTAAAATGCTGAATCAGTCAGTGCAAACAATATTAATATCAATTCCTTGTAAATCTGAAGTACTGAAAATGTCATTTGTTTCAAGTATTCACTATACGAGATAAAAAAAAATATGGTCCAGTAGAGTATGTCTGCAGTTTTTAGTAAGGTACAGAAAGGTCTGTTATTTTTTTCATGTGTGTAAGAAGAGAAAATTGGTTTGAATTCAAGCAAATGGTATGGGGAAGACTATTACATAAGAAATAGGTTAAAGTGTGGTAATCTAAGTTTTGTATCTCCTGGGCTCAAGATCAAACCTGGGATCTCCAATACACCAGGTGGGTACTCTGTAAATTGAGCTAAAGATTTAATCTAGTATCAGTTGCTAATAACACACATTTTTAGTAATTTAAACTATCACATTGATTCCCTCTCACTTATTTTTCTTTCGTAATTCAACCTTTTTTTTGTTTTCCTTGACAAATGCTCTACCAATTGAAGGAAAGGGTTAACCCACTAGTAACTTTTTAATGACTCAAACTACTACATTTTTCTCTCACAAACATGATCTTATCTCAGGATTGTGAAAAGGCCATAAGATGATTGTCAGTTTTTTCTGTAGTAATCACCAGGGCCCAGGATTGAAGTTGAGATCTCTCATACACAAGATGAGTGCTCTACTAACTGACTTAAAGGACAGCGGGTCACTTCTTAACAACTTAAGCTACTAGTAAGGTATCCTAAAATTAATAAAATGGACATATGGAAAGACCTGTGTGAATTTGCTATTTTAGTATATTTTCAGGTATAATATTTATGTATAACAGTAAATTTCTCTATAAAATAATACATAACAGAAATAATAATATAACAGAAGTAATTGTGTTTGAAAATCAATGAAGTATGCAAAGATTAATCATTTTAGTTTATTTCTCAGTCAATAAGAGCTTTTATTGAAACAAATGTGCCAATACAATAGAATTTCTCTGCAAATCTACACATACACACAAAAGAACCTATTTAAACATTATTTACACATGGAAAATGTTAAAGATATGATTAAGAAAGCTCAAATTTTATTATTAATCACAGCTTCCTTCAGGATTCAGAGTTTAAGGGTCTAGGAAACCCCTTATTTCACAATTTTGTGTGTCCAAACAACTGGATGGTTCTTGCATTAAGCACTACATGCATCATTTTGAGACCAAGGTGTAGCACCATTTTGTGTGGGGTGATGCCAATAGCTGCCACAAAAGGGCACTGTGGTTAGATATCACGTGATATAAGGCTATAATGAAAGGTAGATTTTTGACCTTAGATAGTACTAATTTGAATAATTTACTGATGATGTCATCATAACTATTTATTTATATTTGGTTGAAAACTTTTTTATTTTACAGGTAATCCATATACAAGTTTAAACAATGTTAACTTAGCCAGAAAAGGATATTTACAGTGCTAATCCTTTCGATCTGGATGCTATATGTTACTGCAATATCGCCTTGGGCAGAACAGACATTATCTACTATACAGAATAAAGAATCTAAACAAGCAGAGCAAGGCAATCTCAAGAACTTTCTGGATCACATGTTTATGCTAAAATTGCATACCAACCAAATAAAAGAAATTTTTAAACATTCCTATATCATTAAAACAGATAGAAAATATGACATGCCTGCATATCATACATCTACTTGATGTTGTGTTTCATACTCATATAGCTATATACAACAAGCTTGCATTGCAAGATCATCCTGTTACAGTCAATTAAAAGAGCTGCAGCTGACACAATCAAAATAAATCTTTATTTAACAGTGACCATTCTGAGCAGGTTAACAGTCTTTCTAACATAAAACTGTTCATTAAACATACCTAATAAACATAATAATAAACTATTGGTGTTAACATATATTTTGTTTTTCATACTTATTCTACCATAACCCTTTTCTTACATCTTAAGGCACTATGCATTCAGTACATTTTATTGAGGCAATGTAGCTGCTAAACATACCCCCCATGTGCTCCACCATCACAGTTTACTTTTATACACAGAAAGAGCTGTCACATAAAATGTATTAATAGTGTTTCTGTTTTTTTTAATGCAACAACTCTTGTTTAAGTAATGGGCATTATCAAATCAAAATATAAAATTTTCAAAATTAGTGATTATTATTAGTGATTCAAATTATGCTTATAAAAGTCACCTTTTTATCCTTTGGGCATGCTTGGAATTAAAAATAAATGAAGTTACAGCTTCTACCGGAAAATGTGTTGTGTGATGCAGACATGTTTCAAGCAATAATGGAAGTACACAGCACACTCTTCAAGAAAAATAACGTCTCATATACAAACCCTGATAGAATAATAATATTAATCAATTAACAATCTAGCTTGGATGTTGACAGTTTATATAATTAATAGTAAATTCCAATCAGAGTAAGCTATGGATTTGGAATGAAATTAAATATCAACCTGGCAACCAGTATAACTAATTAGATATACTTTATGTTTCTTCTTACTAAGATTAAAATGCATTGTTTCATCAGCAGGGTGTTTTAAGTTAGAGAAATTCTTGGTTGTAAGCCCAATAATACCTCAATGTTTGGCCAGCTTAGGTTAGTTGTAAACACAAATCTAAGCTATAAATAAAATAATAAAAGTATAACAATGAATAACACATGGAAATAAAGTAATTGCATTCGATGTACTAATCAGTACAGCCATTATTAATGAAAGCAACAATAAATAAATAAAATAGCAAACACCTTATTTAGGGAACCCACAAACACTAGTTCTTGTGTTGAACCACAATCATTGATGTAAATTTGTTTGGAATCTCACACAAACATGCAATTTACTAAAGAAAACTATTTATGGCACTCTAACTATATAACATCAGAGGCTATCGTGACAATTAAACCCTGTGTCAGGTTGGTAGTGACAACTTTCCCATGGTGCAAACAAAATCCAATGTTTAATTACATACAAAATAATAACAAAATAAATAACAGCTGAGATGACCATTATAATATAACAATATTAAATGTAATTAGAAGAAAACAGCTAGCTAAACTAGTTTGTCTAATAAATTTTAATACCAGTTTGACTTAACTATCCCTCATAACAAACACTTAGAGGTGGCTGAAGGAAGTAATAAATAATGTTCAACCTTTTATAAATGGCAAAAAAGAAACAAAAAAACATTTGCATGTATAAATACACCAGGGATAATATGATAAAAAAAACAAATATAATATCTAATCTAACTAAACTGATCATGTAATGTCAAGCTAGATAGCCTCAAGCTCTCGTTTATCACAAAATGTACTATGGGGTGTATCAACAAAAGCTACACCAATATCTTAGAAATACTACTGTGTCAATACCTGAAAATACATATTTTATATCTATGGAGAAAAACAAAACAGACCTGATGGTAAGAAGAGACTAGGCTTTACCAAAAGCTTGTACTGTTTTTCTTTTGAATTCTTCATTCAGTTTCTTTTTTTCAATGTTTTTTATTTTTTTGTTGGTATTTAATTTGTACAGAATAACCCAAAAATATTTTTTGGTCAATTTAAATTTCTTGTTTTGTTAGTTTCCTTAGACATGCTAGTACTTGGGTTTAGAGCTTTTGCATTGTCTCCAGCCTCCTATTATTTTTTTGCTTTTAAACTTCAAGGAATGAGGCTCTTGTTCTTTCTTGATTAATATATGGACATTTGTATCATTGGTCATGGAGCTATTCTCACACATTTTTTATATTACTGTCATGCAAGATGCAGACACATACAATAAAACACAAACCATGATTAAACTATTGTTCAAAACCATGGTTTTGGTATATGCTTTATTTATATTAATACCTAAGTTCACATATTTTAACAAATGGAAATTAAAATGAAGATACTTCACAAAATTCTTTGGGGTTGATAAAACCTGAGTATAATAAGATGAACAGCTCACCTTCTCCAGTTTGTATCAGGGGGAATTGATAAATGTACTTGGCCTCCACTTGTGAACATTAAATCATTCAACTGAAAACAATTATCAACCATAACAAATCCTATTCAAATTATTTATAATTACAACATGAATACAGGAAACATTTCATTTATTTACTTCTTACTTGTTTCTTACATAGTTAAGGGTTTATTTTTACAGAAAGTTTCAGTTTTAGAATGTTTTTTGTTTACATTCAAAATGATGTTACAAAAACACATATGGAAACTCATTAATCAAATAATATTACTAAGATGGAGAGAGAAAAAACATTGTCATTATTTTTTACATATGTACATAAATATTTTATTTAAACATTGTTCACATGTAATAATTTCACAGTAAATATCTACTGTAGTAATTCTTTAACTATATTACATATTTAAGACACTTGTAATAGACAGAACAAGTAGTTGTATGCTTGAAACAATCTTTACTAAACCTGAAATAATACAGGAAATGGAACAAGGATAATGCATCATAGGTAATTCAGACTTGAAATAAGCAAATATTCAATCACGTATACTTAATTTAAGGAGTCTAAAAATGTTTTTGATGTACTAATCCATACTGAAATTATAGTAAACCAACTATTTATTTTCACTAGTAATGATTAAATCATTACATGTTGCAAATACATGCATATTTAAATTAATTGCAATGTTTTCTTGTACGGTATCATAAAACTAAAAATATTATGATTTACTACAGACATAAAAAAGAACTATTCTAATACCAACAAAAAATAATCATGTAGATTAACAAGTGATATAAATATAAAACTAAATAATTGGGCATGTTAATAGCTACATACTTAATATTCACATAATACTTAATTTTGAAAAAGTTACAATTTGTGTTTATAAAGTTAATTCACCTCTCTGCATTACAAAGTGCTACTATCTCGCATGCAATGTTGTAAATTCATGCACATGCCACAAGCCTTGAATAAAACTACACATATCAATGTGTATAGCATCAGTCTATAATGTAATCATCATCATTAGACTATACTCATGCACCATTAGCAGGATGACATATCCTCCATGCACAGTAATTCCTATGAGCACTAGCATTTAAAACAAAGGCTCATTCTTGACGACACAAACTAAATTCACTGGAATTGGGGAAGAAGGGTAAGAAGTTGTGCAGAGAGAGATAGGTGAGTATCCATCTGAAATACATTTTCATAAAGAAAAATGTTAACTTCAGTAATGTTACTCATCTCTCTGCATAAAGAAGAGTTAGAACCTCACAGCAAACTGGTGTACAGAATGGAGTTACAAAGATGTGCTCCTTTCTGAAAACAGCAGCAGAAAGGATAAGCCCATGGAGTGTGACATGACACCCATGAGGTGGAGTTGCAGCCTAGTGGGGCAGAACTTGGTGGAAGACCACATCCAATTCAACAAAAGAATACTATTCCCCCAATGATGATGAGGTACATGTTGTTAGAAGAGAAGTCAGACCAAAAGAAAGTGTCACAAGAGTCCTTTGCATGGTGCTAAAGTGTGGCTGATATGCTCAACTGATCATTATGTCACAGGCAGGCAGCTGAGCACGAGTATGTAGTGTGGCTCAAGCTATAAGTCAGGACATTCCTTACAGGAGAAATAGTTATGTGAGGTACTCACCACAATAATCACTTACAGAGAGAAACATCCCAGACCTGTATACTTTGATGAACCATCCAGCTGGACCATACCACTGGGAATGGCTTGGCTCATAGTAGAATGGGATGTCCTATACTATACTACCAAGTAACACTCCAGCTCTACTTCCCAAATAAGTGGTGTGTCCATTCAGTCTCGTACCAGTGGGATTGCACTGTCTGATGAGGAATTCTACATAACAACTTCCCTAACAGATTGAGACTGGGAAAGCAAGGATTTTGACATATTCCACTATAAGAAATGGGGATGGAGGAACTTGTGTGGGTGGAGAATACCAGAGACATGCTTGTGCCATGTCATTAGACACAATCATCTGGAAGTAAGTCCCATACTGAGAGACAGTGTAATGGGTTACCACAACCCAAAACAAAAGATGTAAGCCAGGGCAGGCATACACCTGGTGCTTTTGCTTCCTTTTTTTTTGCAAGTGCAAAATGACCTGGAAGATAAAGTATAGACACTGTTTATACAGTCTTGCAGAGAAACCCCATTTGAAAAGTGGACACTGTGAAGGGGTGTAAAGGTCCAACACTATCCATATGCCCCCCACTCAATGAAGTACTGACTGTGCAGCAACACTAGACACCCAGTGTGTTTCATCATCTCCAGATGATACATACATAAATAAAGATAACTGAAAAGATGTTGAAAAAAACAGAACAAACTACTTACCATCAGAGAGACACTGTTAAGCATGGAGAATGGCAACTGAAAGGAGACAAAACTCAATGTAGGTGAAATGACCCTGTCGTGTAAGTAATATGACAATAATGTGTTGGGGTTACTGACACCCACAACTATGAGATTGTACACAGGGGAGACAACATCATAAAGAGAAGCCACAAAATGGTAATCATGAATTATGATGGGAGGAGACATGAAAAATAAGTATAAGCTCATCACTCACAGAAGAATAAACTAGCAGGATTTGGTGTATACCCCATCTAGGTAAAGGGGAAAAGAGATGAAATACTATAAGATGAGGAACCCACAGCAAAAAAAGATACTGGCAAGTGGCCTGAAAAAAAGCAGTACCAGTGAGGTAACAAACATACTATACAGAACAAAAGAGGCAATTTGGGTCAGACAGGGAAGAAAGGGGACTGATGTTTAAAAGGAGAAAGCATTAATCTTCAGTCACCTTCCTATGCTTCCAAATTATGGGAAGGAAGAAGCAGGTAGGGAAAATTTCAACAGATCCCTCTTGTAAATAGTGTGGTAAGAAGACAAGACAAAAGTTAGAGCACTGACTCTCACACTTGAGAAGGGGAAAAAATATGTCAGAAGCATAGAAAAAGTTTGAACCACTCCAGAAAAACAGCTCCCTCAGCCAGAGCTGTAAAGTCAGGGATTGGGAACAAAAAAGTGAAAGCGAGGAATATAAGGGAGTTGGAAAGGCAGTGATAGAACACCCATAGTTGGAATAATTCCAAATGAAACCACATTGTGGGAAAGGTCCAGTCTCAGGTGAGATAGACAATCTACTATAATGGCCTGAGCTCCCAAGACATGATAAACCAACAACTGAATGGGCCCAAGAAAAGAAGGTCCAGAGCTAGGAAAATAGAGGGCCTAGAGGTCAGTGCATACCTTGTCAGGGGATGAAGAACACAACAGAGGAGGTGTCCAAATGGATTGTGACAAGAAGACCAGGGATACAAGATAGAGGATAATAGCAACCCTGTGGAGTAGCCATCATTTGAAGGAGATAGAGATAGAAACTTCTTTTCTGCAGACAAGATGCCAGAAATGGATCAGGTGTCTAGAACTGCACCCCACTTGAACAGAGACAGTGATGAAAAGGTTAGTGTGTAGGAGTGGTTGTCATCAAGCTCAAACTAATACAATCTGCCACCTTCACTGCACTCGTCACAGTATGGAAACCTACATATGTAAGCAGAATGACCTCATCAACTTACTTCAGAGCCCTGGAGGGCTCCAAATAGATGCAGATCTGGATAATATGAGGGGAAGAGTGACATCAAGTGAACTATTATGACCATAAACATAAGAGGGGAAAAGAAAGTGGATCTCTTTATATTCCTGCACTGATAGGCCAGAAATCATCAAAGAGAACATGTATGGACTCATCAAACACAAACAAGGGACTCAAGAAAAAGAGAGGAAATATCCAAAAGAGACAAATCCTGTCACATAGGAAAGGTTGAAGACATGAGAGCCTTGGTATCAAAAGCTACATATCTCACAGAGAAAGAAGTAGGCTGAGCTTGTCATGCTTATGAAGTGAGATACCCCTAAGTGAATGAGATACAGAATGGGGTTGAGACTGAATTGAATAACAGAACCAGCCACCCAAAACGAGAGAACTCCTGAAGGAGAAGGAAGCTATGTTGGATGGGGAAAGTAGAAGACAAACATCCATAGGGTAGTGAAATAATAGGCTTCAAGAACTGAACCACTGAGTAAAAGTTCACTGGACCCAAAGAAAAAAGATGGGGCCAGAGCCAACTTGAAAGAAAGGGCTAATAACTAAATGTTTGACCACTGTGAAGGAACTGAAAACAAACAAAAGGTGAGCAGACAAATTGGGATGTGTAGAGTGTCTAAGACATCAAACTGAGTCATCCATCACCAAGAAGAGTATGCATACACCGATTTAAATAGCATAAAGCATAAATGTGGTGGCTAGAAAAAATAAGGTTGTCTTCAGGTAAATAGAATTTAAGAACAACGAGGACAAAAGTAATGTAACACTAAATAAAGAAAGACAGTTGATCAAAGTGACTAGAAACTCAAAAAAGCACAGGAAAAAAATCTGCCTGAGTACAGGCAGTGCCAAGGAAATAATGAGCCCATGATAATATTCTAGTGCTCAAGGGGATTACTGTTCATGGTTGTTGTGTTGCACTTTTATTGGTGAAGGGTTACAGCATTATAATGATTATGTCGCAGATTGGTACAATACACATAAACAAGTGTACATGTGGGAGTCTGTTTAAGGTTTGTGGCATGGACAGTAAATTACAGTGGCACAGAAGGTCATACCTCTTAGTAATGTAGAGGAACAAGTAGCATTTCTGAAGCTAAATTTCTTATTTTTTTATTTTCTGTTATGTATGCTTCAAGAAATAATTAGAATGTAATAATTACAAATTTATTAGGTTATACAAGTAAATTTAAATAAGATGAGTAATAATCTGTAATCATTAAAGAAAAAGGTATTTTTGATTCAATTTCATATTTTTCAACTTTTATTACAGATGATTTCACTAAAATTAGTGTTAAGGCAGAGAAAATTTGAAGCAGCTTTTCTGAAAAAAAAAACCTTTTGATATTCATTTATGAAATTTTAAGAGGTTATGCACGTGAAATATAAAAATTTTAATATGAAAAGAATCATT